ATTTTTAGTGAAATTAATTATTTACGACTGAGTTTTATACAATGATTAATTATAAATTCTCAAAACATTATAATTATTATTACTTGTAACTGTATATTCTAATTGATCTCACATTAACTTCTTCGTTGGTATATGAAAAAAATTATTGAATTCGCCAAATGCAATTGAATTAATGGGAGATTACTTTAGAATAACTAATTCGTTAAAAAAAAAAAAAAAAAAAAACCTTTCTAAGCAACCCCAACCACCATTATCGACAACAAAAATTCAAATAATTCGGGTAATAATATCTCATCAACTTTGTTCTGGTTAAACTGACCACATCACAATTAATGGAGCAATTAGACTTTGAAAAAAGAAGATAATTTTGAAATGATAATTAAAAATATAATATTTTATTATATAAACAGATGAATAATTTTTTTTATTAAATTAGGAACAAATTTATTTCTTTTAAAAGACAGGTTTTGATAAAAGATTTTGCAACTTGCAACAACTTCATATTTTGTCCAAAAAGTTAATGGAAAAAATCTAATGATATGTTTGATTGGAGGAAAGGGTTTAGGGGATAAATGAGAGGGGTATGAATAAAAAAAATCGTGTTTGGTTGGAGGGAAGCAGGGAGGAAGCAAAAAAATCCCTCATTTACTGTAAAAGGTCATCTCTCTTTGAAACCCTCATTTCCTTTTCTTCTTATGCTTGCGCTTCATATGAGTCCTCTCCACCTCATCCTTGTCAACTCTCTCCATCTCAATGTTTAAAATCACTTTGCCGGGGCAGGGCCATCCTAGGTTGGGTTGGGCCAGCCCGATGTCAAAAAAAGTGGACTCTAATATTAACCTGAACTTGGATGCATTCGGGCTATGAGGACTAACGCATTCAACTTTTTCTTCTTCTTCATTTCCCGTTTGAAACATCAAATTTTTAATTTTTTTGAAACATCAAAATTTTAATTTATTAATAATATCTTTTTTTTCAAGTATTCAATTATTAATTTTTATGTTTTTTTAAATCTAATTTTATTTTTATTAATACAAAAATATAAAAATTACCTTATTTTATATTAAATACTCCATAAAAGTAAGAAAACTTCTTTTTTTTTGGTTAGTAAATAAATTTTTATTTTTAAATTACTCCAAATAAAACCCTAAAATAATTTGTGTGTAGGGAAATCCTTAACACAAGCCAATGCTGGAAAACAAACTGGAGTGAGAGAGGGGGAGGAAAAGCAGCACTTTTATAGCGACCATTAGATTAAATCTAATTGTAATATTCTAAACCCACTTATATGCCATTCTTTTAATACAAAATCATTATCACTATTTTTAATTTCCAAATTTAATATTTACGAATACCATTAATTATAACAATAAAAGGCAAGTACTACCAAAATAAAAATAAAAATAAAAATCTCTTCACCTCTCGAAATCACATCTCACAACTAATTGGAATTTTATTTTCTTTAAAAAAAATTTGTAAGTGTTAGAAAATTGCATCCATGACTTGATACTAAGGTTGACATTGCCTATTTGTTTGAGTGTGAAAAAGAAATTAAAAATTGCACTATTGACATGCAAAACATCGACTAAAAAATAATAAAAAATTAAAATAAAATCTTTATTTTTTTATCCACTTGACAACTTCACCCATAAAAAAATTTAATAGATTACAATTTAAATTATTGTATACCACCCTAAAGACATGTTATTTAAAAATTAGAAATTCAATCTATTTTTCCTTTGTAAATTAGTTGGTTTTTTTTTAGTATTTTCTTTAATACTGCTATTATTATACTATCATCATAATTTTTTTATTTTTATTTTTTTTTATCTATCATCAAAATTTATTTATTTATTTATTTTTGGGTAAGTAAATAAAGGTATGAAAGACGGCTAATATGTAAAGTAACAACAAAGACCTCAAAGAAAACAAAAATTTCAATTAGTGGTGCTATGACGTTCTAGAGGTGAAGCAATTTTTATTTTTATTTATTTGGTACTTACCTTTTATTGTTGTAATTAGTGGTATTGGTAAATATTAAATTTAGAAAGTAGAAATAGTGATGGTGGTTTTGTATTAAAAGGAAAGAGTATAGGTGGGTTTGGAGTGTGACTATTAGATTTAATCTAATTTATAGAAAGTGTGGAAGAATTTTCTACGGGCCTAATATCACAGATTTGGAAGGTTAAAAAAAAAAAATGAAAGTTTTTAAAAATTTTGGGTTGGGTTCGGTTCAGGTCTAAAAAGTTAGTTAGTGGATGGGTACTAAACTGTTTTAAGTTTAAAAAAAAAATTTGAGGTTAAATAGTTTAATTTTGCTATGGAGATTAAATTAGTTTTTTTGATGTGCATAATTAAAGTCTTTATGCTAACGGATATGTGGTGGGGCTTTCTTCAAGGGTCTAACTTAGGATACAGATGATATTTTTGTTGGAGGTTTCAGCCTGGCCATTGCCTAGTGGGTAGTAAGGCGACTACCAACTCCAGCAGATTACAACCATACCATGTTGCTAGAAGACCTTGATGAAGTTCGTCTCAATGCCCTAGATCATATTATTGCTCAAAAGAAGAAAGTCATGCAGGCATACAACAAAAAGGTTATTTTTCGACCTGTTTCGGTCGATTGATGGTTTGTTTTGATCGACCGGTTCTTGGTTCCATTCATTTGAACAGTAAAATCATGCATTCCAGTAGGCTTTTTTACCATCTTGGTCAAGAACAATGAAATCGAACTCTAAGGTCCGCGCGAAGGTGTCTAGCATGATCATTCTTTGACTTAGAATAGACCAAAATATCATCAATGCAACTAAATATAACCATTTAGCATAAATTGGAGTTTCTAGTACCACACGTCAAGACATAGATCCTCAAAGTAATCAACTTGAAATCTAAAAGTGTGTAAAAAGCCGTGGACCATTGTAGCACGTCCTAATAGGTAAGTTACGTCTGCGTACATGATTATTTTCGGGAAAAACCCTCTCCTTGGTGAAATGAGCCCTCTAGCCTATTGGAGTGCCTTATTTTCATTTTAGCAACTTTTGACAATCTCAAAATATCAGAGGTCTTTTGAGAGCCCATTGGAGTGTCTTATTTTCATCCACTTGTCCCGGTTAGACACTTTTACTTGCCCACTTGTTTGAGGATGATAAGGATGACCACTTTATGAGTAACGGAGTACTTAAGAAATAAATGCCTAATGTCTTATGGCTTCCAATACATCATCCTTGTCGTTGATTATGTCTCAAAATGGGTTGAGGCTTGTGCTACTAAAATGAATGACCATTCCGTGGGCTTGATATGCCCCGGCTGCCAACAATGGTGACAAATCACTCCCCGAGCTGACCCCGAAGATACTAGAACTGCAGCCTGAGCCCAACCCGAACACGACTGGACTTTGAAAATCTCCAACTCAATTTGGACCGCTTTGTAAATTTAAAAGTCCAAGTCTGAAAAATTTTAGGCTCAGTTGGTCCACCCAATATGCACCCCTACTTCAAAGACCAAAATCGGATTCAGAAACTAATCGGCACAACTTTGTCTTTCTTCCTTACAATCTCAATGCAAAGCTCATGAATCCATTAAGCCGTTCATGTTTCGATTCAAAGCCCTAACACGCACCAGTTTGATTCGAAGCCCTCACTTGGTTCGATTCAAAGCCCTATTTCACTATTTATTTTTATATGAACTGTTTTGTTTATTTTTATTTTTAGGTTTGTGTATTTGTTAGCAACTTAGCAAAATAACATAATAGTAAGGAAATGGTAGAGGACAATGTTGAGATTTAACCTACACCTCTCAACTCTATCCTCTCGCCGGCAACAACCATGGTAGTCTCTTTCTCCTCCACACGCCTACACACACATATCTGTCTCTGTTTTAGATTTTTGTTCATATTGTTGTTTGGATGCTGAGAAAGTAGAGGAAATAGAAAAGAAGAGGGTAATAGCACACTTGCTGTTTCTTTTGTAAAGGATTTAAATAAATTTGGGTGTTTTTTTCTCTTTCTATCCCGCATATATTTTTTTTTCTAATTTTTTTTTTTCATTCTTAGATCGTTCTCGTTCTGGTGTTTTCTGTCTGTTTTATTATTATTTTAATTTTTTTTTATTATGTAATTCTATATGCTGTTAAGTTGAAATTGGCTTTTTTTTCGTTTACGATATTGTGGTATATCTCAACTATTGGATTAGTTGACTTCAAATCAGTATTTTGTAGTTCTTGGAATATGCAAAAAAAAAAAAAAAAAAAAAAAAAAAAAAGAGATTGCCACGAGATCATATTATACAAACTACTATCATGTGTTAATGTCATTTTAGCTGACTAAATGCATTAAGCTTTTAATCCTAAGAGGTTTTATGAACTCAAATTTGTGTTTTAGTCTAGTATGTACTAAAATATTATTATACTATTTATTTAAAATATTAAAGAGCGGGTATTGGCCGTAATGGTAAGGTTGCTTTAGTATAACTTGGAGGTCACAAGTTTGAAATGAGAAATGTCTCTAAATATTGGAAATAAGGCTGCATACATCTGACTATTCCAAATGCCGCAATGGTGGCAGCCTCATGACTAGGCAAGCCCCTTTTAATATAAAAAGTTTATTTATTTGAAACACTTTCGTAAAAGAATTTAGTGTTCATAATTTTTTTAAATTGAACACTAACCAAATTTAAGATTTAAGTGTAGCTTTGTCAGACAACAATTAATTTCTTGAGATCACTTGTGGATTATTTGATAGAATATTTAGAAGGATAGGACATTTATTTGATTTTTTATATTTTTATAGTGCAATTGCTGCCATTTTGTCAACTAGAGCAGCACACGATGCCGTTTGCAAACCATGACACAAAAGAGGAAGTCTAAGATAATTAACAGGTAAGCTCCTAATTCTGCAATCAATTTTATGTGGAAGCCCACATTACATCTGTTCTTATTTTATCTCTCAACATTATTGTTATATATAAATATTCTAACATAAGATTACATTATTAAAGGCTCAAACTAAAATTGGAAATTCAATAATGACCATCCAATGCTATCTACCTTCTTGTCTTAGTATCTTATTCACTAGTTGAAGGATTATAAGCAATAGGAATCACACACAGATCTCTTTTCTTGCATACTGCTGCACCGAAGGCCTCAGTCATGTCTAGATCTTCTTGTTTCTCTCCCTCAGGAAGTTTCCAGTCAAAGTGATACAATAAATTTGCAAGTGGAAGCTCAACATTAGCTACCCCGAACAACATGCCAGGACATATTCTCCTTCCAGCACCAAATGGTAGATATTGAAAATCAGTCCCCTTGTAATCAATTAAACCATCAAGGAATCTTTCTGGAAGAAAACTCTCTGGATCAGTCCAATTTTCAGGATCTCTACTAATTGCCCATATATTGACAATGACTTGGCTTTTAGCAGGTATCTCATATCCATTGATTTCACATCTCTCTCTGCTCTCTCTAGGCAGTAATAAAGGGAGAGGAGGGTGTAATCTCAGAGTTTCTTTGATAACTAACTTTAAGTAACTCAATTTATGGAGGTCATCTTCATTAACAATATTTCCTTTTGCACTTAAAACCTGTCTCACCTCGGCTTGTGCCTTTTCCATAACTCTTGAGTTTTTCAGCAATTCTGACATTGCCCAGATTAAAGTTGTAGATGATGTCTCAATCCCGCCACTGAACATGTCCTGAAAGAGCATAAAAATTGAGTTAAAGAATAGAGAATATAGATCAATATCATGACTTATTGGCTCATATTATGCTCTTCTACAACTCTGAGAGCTTGCCTTAAAAGATGTATTTTTGGGCATTAGCCACTTTGGGTGTTGGACCAGCATTACATCTTGAACACAATGTGTATATTGGTGTTTGAAGATAAAATGTTTAAAATTGAATTTTAGTATGTAAATAAGGTTTTGGACTTTGGCTCAACAGAAGGTAAAAGTAATTTGTGAAACTTATTCATTGGTATTGATAGAAGCAGAAACTAAATGTACTAACCAAGAGAACTGACTTGGCGTGTGCCATAGTTAAGGGGATCTCAAGGTTACCCTTCTCCTGAACTTTTAGAAGAACATCTACCAGGTCTTCATGATTGGCTTCACCATCATCGGTCTGTGTTTCCATCTTTCTGGCTTTATGGTCATCAATGATGTTGGTAAATACCCTATCAAGTTTTTGATGAAGCTTCTCAAGTCTAGGCCTCAGCCCAGTTATCAAAGCAAGCATTTTAACCGAAGGAAAGAGATCAGCAACCTTGAAACCTTCTGCTACAACTATGGCTTCCTTGATAAGTGATATGAATTCTTCTTGCCCGCGGAATTTCTTACCAATGGTTGCCTTTGCAGTGATGCTATATGTCAACGACAAAAGCTTTTCACTGAGATTGACTAGAGATCCTGTATGCATCGAAATAGATTTGATCAAATTTGAGGTCTCTTCTTCCCTGATGGGTCGGAATGATTGGACACGTTTGACACTTAAAAGCTCCATTATGCAAAGTTTTCGAAGTTGTCTCCAGTAATCCCCATAAGGTGCGAGGGCAATGTCATACTTGGATATTATATTTACAGAAAGATTAAAAGGTCTGCTAGCAAAGACGATGTCATGTGTTTTCATCACCTCTTTTGCAGTTTTTGCTGAAGAAATGACAACGATAGAAAGTTGTCCAAGTCGCAGGTGCATCAGAGGTCCATGTTTCATGGCCAAATCTCTTAGGCAGTGATGGGGTAGAGTTCCCACAAATTGGTGAATGTTTCCTATTAGAGGTAGCTTCCATGGTCCAGGAGGCAGTTTTGGGGTTTTAGATACTATTTTGAATACCATGGACAGAAAGAGCAGGAATGTGAAAAGAATTGGGAAGGAGAGGAATGGGAACTCCATCATCAATTGTAGAGCCACGTTCGAGTGTTCACTTGTCTCAGTGGTATGATTGCTTTTCATCCAGATTTATGCTTGCTGTGGAGCCCTGAAGTTCTGCAAGATCCTTTCAGCATTTTCAGATTACTTTTCTAGGTTGTATGCATGGTTCCCTTGTTTTATAAATGAAAATGCATTATGTTGATGATATTCTTTTCCACATATAAAAATGTAAATATTTAGCATTGAATTAAGAAAGATATATATATATATATATATATATATATATATATATATATATATATATATACATTGGCAAGAAACACACTTACGCATGCACTTCCACACATTTTACCCCTCCCCTCCCCTCCCTCAAAGGGATCAAGAAAAATATTTAGATACATGTTACAAATGAAGCATGTACGAAATCGTTAATCAGACCTTTTGATAAGATTGAATTGCAGACATTCAGATACATAAACTTTATTGATATTTCATATGCACCTTCAAATATCATTTTTTATCTGCATCTTCTACAATATAAGATATAGATAAAACTTCTTAGACACAATTTTGAATATCATGAATAGAGAGAGCAGGAAAGTGAAGAGAATTGGGAAGGAGAGGAACGGCAACTCCATCAGCAAATGGAGAGCAGCGTCCAGATTTTACTTGTCTCAGCGGTAGGATTGCTTTTATATCCAGATTTATGCATTTTTAAGTTCTCATTTCTGAGTTGTATCCTTTGTTTTATGAATAAAGATGCTTAGAGTTATATATATGAATTATTGTATTTGACAAGGTAGGGCTGTGGTACATTCTCGCCTTCTAAAGTGGAAGGGAGAGGATTGAAATTCTCATGGAGGCAAAGTGAGTTATTGTGTTTTTTTCTGTAATACCCCGATAATTTTAAAAGATTTATTAATTAGGATTAATTATTTTATTTTATTTTTCAATGATTTATTTTATTTTATTGAGTGCTAGATTAATTATCTTATTTTAATTAAGTTATATTTCGTGATTATGTATGATGATTGATTGTTTGTGTGGTTGATTATTGATTGAATTATTGGTGTGTTGATTTTATTGGTATTATATGACTTAGTTGTAAATTCTTGTTTGTTTATGTGCTTCATGTAATTAGTTATTTTAATTTCTATATTTAATTAATTATCTTATTTATTTAAATTAATTGGATTGGGCTTAAGGAAAGTTGGACCAAAAGATGTGGTCTTGGGCTTGTATGAAACCTTATTGGGTTAATTAATGAAGGTCCGTGGTTATTTAATTATTTAAATGATCACTTTTGTATCAATTATATTTATATATATATATATATATAATTATATATAAATATAATTAATTAATAATTGTTATGGAAAGATATATATATAGATATATATTTATTGATATTTATAAGTATATATGATTTAATTAACTAATGAGTTAATTATGGAAGGAATATATATTTATATATATATATGTTTATAGATATAAATTATTTAAAGATTATTATTTTAATTCATAATACTAGTTGGAATAGGATTTGGAATTTAAGGTGTATAAAAATACATATAAGGCTTTAGGGTTAAAGGTTTTACACGTTAGAAAAATAAAACAGACAGAGAGAGAGGAAGAGGAAGGGCTGACAAGGAGGAGGTCGGATCTGAAAAGGAGGACGTCGGAATTGGAAGAGATAATTAAAGCTTAAAGCGTCGGTTTCGTTTCGAAACCTTCAGACGAGTTCTTCTCTAACTTTCCTCTTAGAACTCATAAGGATTTCACCTTGAGTATCAAAATTTAAGATTAAATTTATTGATTAAATGATGGTTAGAACGGAATCTTAAAAATATGAATTATTATATTTTATTTTTGGAATTTTAGATTTTTATTGTTTTACATATGTGTTGTATATTTTGTTTACATCAATCGATAGGCTGGATCTAGACCCAAGAGGGTTAATTAGTGTTTCTAGCATTTATGAGAATTTTCTGGAATTTTTAGATTAATTTTAGAATGTGTTTTATATTTTTTGGAATTATTCAAGAATTATTTTCTATCTTAATTTGGCAAAATTATATAGATAATTTATAATATATATATATATATATATATATATATATATATATATATATACAACACTGGAGGCGGCGTTTGTAAGGTGGGCGCAACAATAGGGTAGTAATCTGGTGTAGAACGGTGCATGGTAAGAGGTTACACCACTAATCTGGGCCATTGGAATAGTTTAGATATAAGTGGAATGATTCGGTGCATTGCGGTGTACACAAAAGAGTGCACATGTGAATCTGGACCATGGATTAAGTTTGGTCAACAGAAGATTGATGTGGTGTGGGTGCATACATGTGAGCTCAAGTGAGCTAATCTGGTGTGGGTGCGTTTGTGTGAGCTCAAGTGAACTAATTAAGTGTGGGCGCGCTCACAGTAGTGTTTGAGCTCAGCCAATTATTTTGCCTGTTTGTGACATAAAATTAAAACGGTCATAACTTAGTCATTTTAAATCGAAACTGGGTCATTCTTGAGCTCAAATTCAAGGATTTTTCGTCTTCTTTCCAATGGTACTAATTTCATTATCAGATTCTTATCCTAATAAGAGATATTTACGTTTTAGTGAGACGGTGTCGGAAAACTATTTAAACCGGTATGGAGTATTTAAAGGAAACTATTTCTGACATATTTAGTTGCACTAATTTGGGTAAATATAATAAATTAATAATTTGTTATGGAAGGAAGTGTATATATATATATATATGTGTATATATAGTTTAATTTGTCTATGAGTTGTATGGAAGGATGAATATATATATATATATGTATATATGTATGTATATTGATTTTAAAAAATCAAGGATTATTAAAGAAGGTGTTAAACACATATATACATTAAATAACATATGTGTAGGTATATATATATATATATAAATCATTTAAGATGATTAATATTATCATTCTTATTTGGCATATCTTAATAGGCTGGTTGTTAAATTAATGATATGCGTATAATATGCATGTGATGGCTATGTATGATTTAGCGTATTGTTAATTTTAAAGTTAATTCATGGTTAAAGTGTGGGCATGGATGAATTGTCAAATGATTAAATATATTACCTAAATATTTGTATGAATAGAATACATATATGGAAAGTATGGATGAATTGCTAATTAAATGTATGAATAAATATACCTGTGGAGGCATGGTTGAATTGCCAATGTATAAATATACATACACGGAGGCATGGTTGAATTGCCAATGTATAAATAAATATACTTATGGAGGCATGGTTGAATTGCCAATATATAAATAAAAATATTTACAATGGCATGGTTGATTTGCCAAAGTATAATTACGTTGTTATGTGTTAGATGATTAAAATATCATCTATGGTTGTTGTATGTATGGATTGGATTAGGGTTAGATATTCTTAAATGAGAATAGTTTAGTACTTACTGGTTAGTGTATTATTTTACATTAATAAAATAATATTGGGGAAGACGTGAATGATTTGTCAAAACTTGGATTTTGGATATGTGATTTAAACAATTAAAATCATTATCGGGTTGGGATTAAATAGAGTATTTCTTTTATTATAATTTGTTATTTAAATGATTAAACAACTGACTATGATGGGATTAAGGTCAAAGGAGTTTTTATAAAATGAAATGGTAGATTGGTCTAGGTATGAATATTATTTTAACAATTATTTAATAGGTATGGAAATTTAATAAACCTATTAATGGATGTGATTAGTATAGTATATATAATTATATATAGACATGTATATCGTGCTTTATTAAAGTTAAAACTTTATTACGTTTGGTTTTGATCAGAGATGATCTGCTTATTGGTTTCCAGAGGCCTGGTAGAGTGAACTTGCTCGTAGGGTTTAACCCACGATTTATTTTTCAGGTTATTAGAGGTTCCAGTCTCGAGGTTGAGGATCCGCAGCTGGGAGACTGTCATTCGTCTATTCATCTTGTGTACTTTTAAATAGTATTGGATTATTGGATAATGTTTTAAGGGGTCCTTGAGTTATGGGATTTCCGAATTGTAATTGTTGGAGAATCATTAAGTAATATTTATTTATTAGTTTTCTTCAGCGGTTTATTTATTCTTTAGTATTCATCTTGGTATTCTGTGCTTGTTAAATACTTAAATTGTTTTGATATCCCTTGATTTTGTGCGTGGACTTGATCAATCCGTGTTCCAAAATTAGGGGGTATCACATTTTCCAAGATAAAAAGGTAAATAAAATAATTTTTTTGTAAATAGATCCTGAGGACTTGTGGAAGATTGCAATGACATATAGATATATGTGCATTAATGGGGTCATATACATATCATAATGGTCATATAAATCATACATATGGTTCAGATATGTCCAAAAGTAAGTGGATTCAGAAAAATTATTCGAAGAACTGAAAAAGCAGATTATGGGCATATAAATCATATACGTAGTACACTCACATCTATTTTTTATGGGAATATATATATATATATATATATATAGAGAGAGAGAGAGAGAGAGAGAGAGAGAGAGAGAGATTTACATTGTTGATGATATAGTTTTAGTCAGTTGGAGCTTTTAAGTTCCTATGTCTCTTTTGCAGAGAGTATAAAGAAGGTAGAAGAAAGCCTAAGGCCTTTGACTTTTCTTTTATTGATTATACCAAGGCTTTAGTGAAAGCAATGGAAAATGACCATTTGCTAGTGCCATGATATCATTGGTCTATGTTAAATAATTTAGTATAAATTTTATCCAGCAACAAAAATAAGTTGTTTTTTTTTATTTTTAATATAATAAAAGTATATCATAACAAATTTTAGGCTCTAGCTAAAGTTATGGAGGGAAATATTGTTCTCTCATGACCTTTCAAGATGCTAGAGTGCCATCTCAAATTTTAGGCTTTTTGGTCTTCACCTCAGAATGTGAGTATATTACTTTATTTTTTGATAATAATAAAAAAAAAATATATATATATATCTATACACACAAACTTCCAGAAAAATGCATGCATACATGTACGG